TTAATGTTGAAATGTATTAAATTGAGTGTTTAACCTGATCATTTTCACGGAGAGAAAAGAAATTGCATTCCTCCTCTTTCCCCATCTGCTAAGGCACAACAGTTGGAGGCACAAACACCGCATCGGTCATCTCCACCGCACCTGTACTCACCACGTCGACCAGCGCTCCATCGATAAGCCCATCCACGACCACTGTTCAGTCCACATCCACAGACAGCAAAGCCAGCGTTCAGGCGCTGGTCACGCAGGCTCCGACGTCCATAGCGACGTCCTTAGGGACGGGTCAGGTGATGGTGGCCGCTCCGGGCCTATCCACAGCGCAGCTGGGGGCCGCCCAGCTGCCCACCAGCGCCAGCTTTGCAGCCATGGCTGCAGCTGCGGGGCTGACCCCGGGACTGATGGCATCATCCCAGTTCACTCCAGGGTTAGTCTCTGACTTTTCTACAATTTGCTCAGAGGTTGTTTTTTTTTTCTCTCTGTATGTGCCTTAATAATGCTTGTTTTGATTTTAGCGGGGCCCTTCTCAGCCTGACTCCTGGGGGGCTTGGCAGTGCACTGAGTCCTCTGATGAATAACAGCACTCTGGCTGCAATTCAAGGTGTGTGCTAGGCCAGCGTCATGACCCAGTAGTAAACATTTTGGATAATTTCCCTTTTAGCAAAATGAGTGTGGTTTTTCTCTGTTTTTTTGTGTGTGTGTTTCCTTTGTGTAAGAAATTGCATCTTGAAACAAGGGATTAAATAAAACTTCACTGGGGTTAGAATGATACTTTCTAAAAGATGAAAATGAGAGTTTCAAATAAGAAAAAGTAATTTCTAAACAACAACTGTCATCTGTGTTAGTAACACAAGAACTTCTGGTTAAACTCATTGTTTTGATTCCCTGTAGCAACCATTAATAAATCCCTCTGTGGGCTTTAGAGAATTTCAATTTAGTGTAGGATAATCCAGTCCAGATTTGAGAAGTGTTGGCGTTATAGATTTTGAAATGGCGCTGATCTAATTTGGTCTAGATGCCAAAAACAGCCTTAAAGTCAACGCCATTGCTAACTGTTTTATTGTTCGAGTGGACTGATTTCAAAGCAAAACAAATAAAATTGTTTCTATTCAATCTTTTGTTTCTCCCTGCATATAAAGAACTAAATGCATCAGTAGAAAATGGGTAGTAACGTTTGGATAAGTTACAGTCCATAAGAAATGGTTGCGTTAATTGAAGACCTGTACATATTATTGAAAACCTTGTGTTTTGCACACTAAAACCGATCCCCGCGCCTCCTCCTCAGCACTGGCGTCGGGCGGCCCCATCCCCATCACGTCTCTGGACGGCGGCAACCTGCTGTTCGCCAACACCTCGGCCGCCAACACGCCCAACCTGGTCACCACGCCGCTCTTCCTCAACCCCCAGAACCTGTCGCTGCTCACCAGCAACCCGGTCAGCCTGGTGTCGGCGGGGGCGGGCGGGCTGCAGGTCACCGCCGACGCCCACCACCAGGCCACCACCGCTGCCGTGCCTGTGCAAGCCTCGACCATTACCACTGCCTCCAAGGCTCAGTGAAGCCTCGGTCCCGACGCCTCGTTTCCTGCCGCGAGCACTACTTCCCCGTCACAACGGGCGGGGGACACAGGCTTCACTACCCGCCCCCCCTCCTCACTTTTCACATGAGAACTAGAACATTATTTAATGTATTCGCTGCCACCAAAAAGAAAACGACATCCAATATAATTGGGCTTAGGTTTTGTTTTTTTCTCTTTCTTTCTTTCTTTCTTTGTTTTCAATAGTTCTCAATATTTTCTCTCACAAACACTCTTGTTGGCCTGAAAAAAAAACAAACAAACTCTGCACCATCACACTATTATGTACATATTTCCTCCTATTACGAGGTCAGAATCACATCTGACACGTCTAACCAAAAAACCAAAATCTTTGTCCCTTCTAACATTTCAAACTTGAGTCTTTTTCACTAATTTCACAATGTTTTGTCGTGTCTAACAAGGGTTTGTGTATCACTTCCTTTGTCTTCTTAACATTTTTGACAGGCCTCAACTTAAATCATATCAAAGTTGTACTCTTCTTTGCTTTTCCTTTCTATGTATTTTTTTTTTCTGTTTTAAATCTTTATAATTCTAAGTTAATATTCACCTATCACTTTTTAATCGTGGTTATAAGGCTTTAAATACAAGTAATAAGTGGCCGATTTAAAGGTTATCATTGCTTTAAGGGTCGGAGGTGACTGGGTGGGTCTCTCTGCGTCTCTTCTCTGGAAACACTGAGTTTTACAAGTCGCTGTGGCGGTCGAAAGGCCTCTTAGCTTTTGTAAAACGAGGGTCTAGTTGTGGATTGTTGACACTGACAGAAAGTGGCTCGAAATATTTGTGTGGAGAGCTTTTATAGAGAGCGAGCTGCAGCCACGTATCTGGACGAGGTGGTTTGGGTTGCAATGTGCTTTCTGCAGCTCTTCCAGATCAGTTTCTGGCAGTGTGTCTTTTTTTTTTGTTTTTTTTCTCGAGGAGGGCCATGTACTGGCGGTACTGGCTCCATGGGATTTTATTGTGGGTTTGTGTTTTTTTTTTTTTTTTTTTTTTTTTTTTTAATAGTAGTACTGTCATATATGAACTTGTGCACAGTATCTGTACCAAAAAAAAAAAAACAACTGGATTGATGAGCTGCAGTCTGCCTGATTTTGGGAGGAATGAATACGTATTTTAAGATATACCAAAAATATTTGTTAAAATAGTTGCTGTGTGTAGTCAGTGTAGCTTAGTCTAGTCGATATATTTATGAGTGCAGAATCTCTCTTCATTGTCAACAGAATATAGAAATGCAATATTTTGATGACCATTTTCCAAAGATAACATTGTTTTTTTTTTTGTTTGTTTGTTTGTTTTTTTAATTGGCAGCACTACTTGCCAACATGAGAGGGATGGGATGGTTGTGAGAAATTGGTTTCTTTTTTTACTTTTATGAGACATATTTGTTCATTTTTACCACCTGGGCCTTGCCCTCGATTTTTAAACTCGTTTTTTCAGAGCCGTTTGAAGGCATGCTTTTTTTTCTAATCTGTTCTAGTAGCATTTTCGACGTTTTTTCTGAACCGTAGTGGAAAGCAGGCATGGGCCGGTATGGTGGACTTGAGTAAAAATACCAAGTTTTACACTTTTCAGATGATCTAATTTCTGTTTTTTTAAAACCGGCTTGTAGCTTGGCTGACTGTCATTTCAGAGTAGTTTCTTGATAAGATTGAAGGATGTTTTGAGCCAAGGATTGTTTTCCAAACAGCTGATATATATATCTTTTGTTTTGTAAGTCAGAGAAAAGTGTAGTTTCCTTCTTTTGGTGGCCAGCAGTGCGCAACATCATTACTTCAAATTGCACAAAAAAAAATCTCTTATTACATTAAACAGACTTTAACCATAGGAACTGTTTGTAACAGGTAACCGGCCCATGCCTAATGGACTCTTTTTTTGTTTTTTTGTTTTTTTTTGTTTTGTGCTAATACTCAGCCATAAAACAATAGCTCGAACCAAAGCGGTTTTACTCAGTAGTTGCTGTGCCTGCCGGAGCACGCAAGTTGCTGTTCACATGGTTTCTACGGCTTTCCCCGCCCGTCCAAGCAGTTTTTTTCCCCCTCTCTTCTCCAAATGCCAGATTCTCCCCGATTTGGTGCTGCTGGAACCAGATCACAGAAACTTAGCTTTAACAACTTGCTGCTGAAGCTCCCGACGGGGAGCCGAGCTGTCGAGAGGCCTGCATGCTTCCTTTATAGCTTTACGACTGCGCCCTGTGGAAGTCGGGGTTTGGTAGTTTCGACCCGCCCACTGGGGCGGGCTCACCTGTGTAAATGCATAAACCCAATCGTCGGAGAACATCCTTCACGTTTGCCTCGGCGTCGCCGGTTTGACCCATTGTGTCTGTGGACTGGTCGTAAACCCACCAAACTGTTTTACAAAGCAGCACATTCAGTCACACCCCACAGAAAAGTAGCATTGATCGATATCCAAATGATGACTTTAGTTCCTGCAGTGATTTTTTTTTTTTTTTTTTTTTTTTTTTTTCCTGTGGCTGTAAGTCGTGAAATTTGTCCACACGATCCGCCTCCTTGTTTGCTTTTGAATAATTGTGACTAAATATACCTCAGCAGAAACTTCAACATAGGTTCACCGTTAGACATTTCTGGGTGTAGAATGTATAAGTGCTGTCTGGCTTTACCATTCAGAGGTTTTACCGTTCATAGGAACCACAACGTTAAAGGACAACCTACTACTACTACTGCTATTTTCTAGTACTACTATTTAAAGGGTGTTTCTGGGTTTAAGTGTTTTTCTTTTTTTTTTTTTAGGATCTTTATTGCCAAAGTAAAAGCCTTTTCTCATCAAAGCTTTGTGGATGTCTGGCCCCCTCCAACCTGCAGGGGGCGCTCAGTTCCTGCCCTCCTTTTTAGTCATTATGTTTCACCTGCACCATGACGAACCAGCTGGCACCATAGGATGTTACTGAAATATTTATCTGAGGAAAGACTTAACAATTAGAGAAGCAACCTTTTCTTAATTCTATATAAATATATATATAAACATGTGTAAGATATTCATATTTTATATTTGAACTAGTATGTTATCAAGATTGAATGTAGTGTTTATCATGCTAACTCAAAAGAATAAATCTCCCCGCAATCTTCTAATGCTTTATTCACTTTTTTTTTCTTTTTTTTTTTTTTTTTACCTGACCAAAAATATGAGAGGAAGTTAGTGAGGATGCCTCTGTTTTTGACCGGAGGAACTCGAGACGCTGAAGCATCTGACCTTATTGCTTTATAATTATTATTATTGCTAATAGTTTATTTTTTGCGTTGTTGTGAATTTGATTTGCTGTGTTGTCTTTAACAATCATTTTTCTTTAACTTTTTGCCTTTTTTTTTGTATAGTGTGAGAGGATAAGATCACTGGCTTTTGTAGTTTGACGAGAGAGGATTAACATTATCATTTATGCCTTACTGTTACGTAGAAGACATGAGCATTGTAGCGTTGTGTTGATGTGTGTGTGTGCATGTGTGTGAGTGAGTGAGAGCTAATCTGGTGCATTTCGGTGAAGTGGTAGATATCTGGGGCATTTTGGAGTGGATTAGTGATGTGTGTTTTGTTTCGGCCAGGTTGGGAAATGCTTTACTTGTAATTCCAGTGGCTTTTTGTGTGTGAAAGTGTGTTTGGGTTGTCTGCAAACCTTTACGGTGCATTTTCCCTCATCTTCCAGCTGGTGTAAGGAGTGATTTTCTTTTTTCTTTCTTTTATCAAAAAGTTTGATATAGAGGAATGCTTACTTCTTTTTTTTTTTTTTTTTGACTGAGTTCGTCTACTGATTAAGCCACAGGCTTCACGCAGGCCGTTCGCCGAGCCTGCTTTGGGAAAATCCTACCGTTTGTGGTTGATTTTTTTTGTAGTTTCTTTTGATATTCTTATGAGCTGTTTTCTTGGCTTTTAGTGCTTCACTGTCAGTAGGTGATCTTGAGACTTCAAGGCGTTCTCGTGGTTCAACAGGCGACTATATTGAGCCCGATTATGTCAGTTTGCTGTGGAGGAAGAACAGGTGGACCACCAGTAAGGCAAAACAAACTGTTGTATACCTCATTTCTTAACTCAAAACTGAGTGAAACCTGCTTTAATCTACTTAAAAAAAAAAAAAAATTTTTTTAAAAAAAAAAAAAAAAAAAAAAAATGTCGGTGGAGAAGCCTGCTCATACCTGTACTGCCACATGGTGGAGGCAGATTACACGCCAGTGCTTGTGAATGTCTGCTGGTTTTTTTTTTCCTTCACGACTTGTGCACACACGTGTCTTTACATTTGTCAGAACTGAAAAATCTGCAATCCTTTGTTGCCACTTTAGTTGATTTCCTACCCTCATCTTTGTGTGTATACACTTCTTTTTAAGTTTGACAATCTTGTTTCGGTTTTTTTTTTTTCCTCCATATTTCTGTTTGTCATTTATGACACGGTACAAGTATGTGCAGGTTTCCTCCTGTCGTGGCCCGCTCTCGGTTTCCTGTGGTACCAACGCTAACCAAAGACTTCTAACTTGATTGTACGCGAGCAACGCCGTCGTCTCGCCCATCCCCGCCTCACTGCTCAGCATCTAATCCAGGCTGCACTCCCTCCACGTCCCTCATCCTCCAGAGTCCCAAAGCGTTTCGACTGTAAGGGGATGTTTTATTTTGTTTGTTTGCATTTCTTGTGGTGAATGTGCGTCCCGTCGGTGCAGCGGTTTCAGTGCCTGTGGGCGGGGATCGGAGGGGGCTGAGCGGGCCTCTGTGACGGGCACGAACCAATGTGGCGATAGCTGGGTGATGTTTGTTAATACACGCTGAGGGTGGATCCTGTGCACGCTGTACCTGCTCAGGACTTTGTACGTCCTCCCTTACTTTCTTCCATCGCGTCTCTCTCTCTCTCTCTCTTTCTCAAGGACTTCTTCCTCTTCCCCTCGCTTCCCCCTTCATGTCTCCAGAAACACACGTCCTTCCCTTCACCGTCTCCTCGTCTCCTCTCTACAGACTCTGTGACACTATGCATCACGGTCCGTCCCCGCCCGGCTCAGACCCGACGGGGCTTCGGTGACACTTTTGTCTAAGGCTTTACTCCAGGAGAGGCCGTCCGGCTCTCACAAGCGCTATCCCAAAGCAAAAATCCAAATATTTAAACTTTTTTGACAAACGCAGATACCAAAGATATCTCTTTTTCTCTCTTTCTCTCTCTGTGTGTGTGTCTCTCTGTGTCCCTTCCCGCCCTGCAGCATGTGTATTAAGAGACAAAACCCAGCTCTGGCTTTTAGTCCTTAGCCTCAGTAATTCCAAAGCTTAGATGTATATTTTGGTATATCTCTGAGAAGAAGAAGAAGAAAAAAAAAAAAAAACCTGCGTGAAAAGCGTTTGTTTGTTGTAACCTCTTTTTTTTTTTTTTTTTTTTTTTTTTTTCCCAGCATGGAACTAATTGCAGAGCTGTCTTACTCTTAGTAGGTTAAAGATATAGTATTTTTGTATGTTTTTTTTGGGTGTGTCATGTGTGCGATTATCAGTTTTCCGGCCCAGGCAACCACGGCTTTCAATAAAAACCCCCCTAAAAAAAAATAAAAAATAAAAAAAAAAAAGAAAAAAAAAAGGATGACAACCATGTACATATTATGTCAGTGTATCTCGAGAAATGCGTTCTGTAAAACAATTCACGTTGGGAGCTTGGGCTGATCTAAAGGAATGTGTTCCTGTTTTATTTTCCTCCTTTTTCTTACTCTGCAGTCTATCAATTTACTTTCCAGGACTCGAATGTAAGGAGTTTTGGTTTTCACCTGAAATTACAACACTGAGAGAGGGACACTGCTCTGATATTATTACTAAAAAGAATTAAAAAGAAAAAAAAAAAGAAAAAAAAAAGTAAAGGCCTCCAGTCGTGGAGGTTTAGAAATGAAAGATTGTGTAGGAGTTTTAAGTATGTGAATCAGGATACATAGATTTTGATGCATTTGTCTGCTGTATTTTTGTTTTTATACACATACAAAGATAATCTTTTACTGTAAATGTACAGTTTTTTTTTTTTGTTGTAAACATCATTAAAACTGTTTTCCAAGTGTTTTGACACGTGCTTTATCATGTTGTATACAATGAATGCAATACTAACTATTGGGTTCAAATTTACATCGGTCTGTGCTTTACTATGTTTAGAAAATATTACTACTACTGCAGCATGATGGCAGGCTAAAGAACTAAAACACTAGATCAGACTAAACGGTTCCCTTTTTTAGTCAGAATTAAACTTGATCTATTTGCTAAATGTCAGAAGGAGACTATTTTTCTAAGTTTGTTTTTATTTTAACGTCCAAAGTTTACTTGTGCTTCTGTAGTATGTGGTAAAATTATAATTTCAGCTATTGTAGGGTCAAATATTTTTGATGCCCTTTAACAATATTCAGTCAAATCATTTGTGGGAATTTTGGTCCATTCTTCCCAACAAAACGGAGTCAGCTTTGTAGGTGGCATCGCTCACACGCTTCCTGTTGGAGTCAGATCCAGGCTTTTTTGACGGTTACTCCAAAACATTGATTTTATTGTCCTTAAAGTTACTTTGTAGCTAACTTAGTGGGATTATTAGTGTTGTTCACCATTTAGAAAACTGAATTTAAGCCCAAGCTTTTAACTTCTTGGCTGACGGCTTGAGATGCTGCTTCAGTTTTTGTATCTGTTACTCTTTCCTGAAGTCATTTTATCAGTCTATCCTGGAGCAAAACACTTAAGAGAAGGTTGCCACATCCCTACTTCACACTCGAGATGTTTACAAGTTTCAAACATCCTACAAATGTAGAAATAATCACTTCAACATGCCTGTAAAAGTCAAGCTCTTTGCCCCTGAGTGCTTTTGCAAAAATAATCTCTTAAAATGTTCTTGCTGTGTGGCTTTTTCAGCCCATGTAATGACATTCACCAGCTTCAGCCAAGGGTTTTACAAGATGTTCTGCTTTTTCACAAGCTGAACCAGTATTATCACCAATGAGAATCAAACCAGTAGCTGTGTTTAAGCCTCTGGGTTTGATGAAGGCAAACAGAAATAACTTAAGAAGCTGACATAAAACAGGAAACGTTTAGTCTGATTTAATGGCAGACAGTGAGGGAAAAAGGTTGTCTTGTTTTTCACAACACATGTAACTATCTGTTCTCAGTGGTACAAAACCTCAGGTCTGCTTAAAAATCCAACCACATTTTATCTAACCAACCACAAAAACAAAAAAATGAGGTGCTTATCGATACAAAAAAGCAAAGAGAAAAGAAAAGTCTTTACATAAAAAAAGAGAAAAAAAACAGGCAATAATTTTCCATTCGTCTCAGCTGCAATTAGCTTCTCTGTTTCTGAAAGTGCGTCGCTACGGAGCCGCAGCGGGCCGAGGGCCGGTGGGGACAGACTTATATGGATCCTTATCCTTCGGCTTGCCCTGGCTCTGCTGCAGAGAAGAGAGACGAACTGCGTGAACATATGCTACGAGTCTACGTAATTTAAAAGATCATTGAGTATTACAAACTTGATTTCACTGTTCTGATGGTTTAAACTTGTACTGAACAGACTCACAAATAAGCCAAAGACATTTGAGCTATGGCCTAAAATGAATTTGTCACGTCTTTTGATCTTCCCCAAATTTTCTGACGATTCACAGAGTCTGAAATGCTTCAACATATTTGACTGGTTTACCTTAGGTCTCTTCTTCCTGCCAGTTTTTCCCTAAGAGGACAAAACACCATCGTGAAAAATGAAGAAGGTGAACAAGTGGGAATTTGTTCGTTCAAGTTTTTTGCACACCTTTGCTTTTTTGGGGTCAAGCACTTCGTAAGCATCAGTGTCCTTTGGCCTCTCGAGTTCCTAGAACAAAATGAAATAATCGGTACATAGATGAGAACACAATTACCAAAAATCTGACTATTTAAACTGTGAGAATGCTGACCTTACCTGGTAAATGCCCCCTTTTTCTTCCTTCATTGTGAAAGAGAAGAATAAAACAATTAAGATCAAATGCAAAGTACATAGTTTATATGAAAAGTTGAACAACCATCACCGGCTCTATTTGTATAAAAAGACATTAGAGACATGATTTGAAGCTTGGATACTCACAAGGTCCGGTTGAACTCGTGGCATTTTGGAGAACTGAACCAGGATGAAGCAAACGGAAAGTATTAAATCTAACATTTCAACCACCTTTACAAACAAATGAAGAATTTCCATCAAAGTATAACAGGAAAACAGCATAAACATTTTCTGTTGCCCGCTGTACGACCAGAAGGTAAAGCTCAGCAACAAGTTCTTCCAGGACTGTGGATCTCTGCAGCTCCTCCAGAGTTATCTGTGCTGCTGCCAAACTTCATGTTTGGTCTGCCGGTTTAGGCGGATGCTGACGACTTGGTAGGTTTGCATTTGTGCCTTCTTCACATTTTTTGATGACGAATTGAGTGGTGAGATGTTCAAAGCTCAGCATGGTGTTTGGTGAACTGACCTCAAACCTCTCCAAAGGACACGTCAGCTCTGTTCTTTGCTCTGCATGACGTTGTTTGTTTTGCTTATATTCACTGGGTTTTATGTTTACACAACAATATTTCTGGCAGAACAAAAATATGCTGATTTTTCACCACAAGTTTCCTTCCATCCACTTTCGCTACGATGACAGTTTTGTTATATTCTTCTTGTGTATTCTACAAATTAGATGTTAATATTTCAATACGAAGGACAAATATCTATTTAATTCAATATGTCTAAAACGTGTATGGACGTGGAATTGTCAGGTATAATTGATTCACAAAGTTTATTGGATTTTTGCCTTGCAGTTAATTTAACTATAGTCTGCCTCTATCAGAAGATGAAATGAAATGAAAATGTGAAATCTCATTTAAAAATATTTGATCATTTTCCTATCAGCTACTTTAGACACTCACCTCTGTTTTTTCTCCTGCACTCTGAGAAATATTTTTTTTTACACTTTTAACCATCAAATAGTCATAATTAACTATATTTCAGTTTCATAATCAAGTTTCCATCGACCGATGCTTATCTGTGTGAGACTGCTCTGAAATTTGGTCCACCTTTGCTGAAACTCACTTTTTCTCTGAAGAACAGCGCCGTTGCAGCAATACAGTAAACCATCAGAAACGCGTCCAGAAAGTAGCAGATGACCGGATCAGTGAAAAAGGTTTCTGCAGAACAAACAAACAGAAAACAGAAACAGGATGCTATACAACTGTTTCAGACTGTGCGCAACTGTATCATGAAGTTTCAAATTGTGATATTTGTGCAGTGGACGATCTGTTTGGGGTTGGGTGCCTTGTTGCAGAGTGAATTTGGAAGAGATAAGCGGTCTCGCTGATGGTACAACATGATAATAAAATGCTTGCAGTTTGTTGCAGGAAGGGGACTTTTTGATCTATGACCAAGTTTCAAATTTGGCTTCCAGCCCCTAACACACTATGACGTGTTTCACGCAGCACGCAACGCTGATATCTGCAGAAAACCACTACTGAGCTCTTAAGCTCTATTTTCCATCTAATTATCTAAACTTTATGCTAAATGCCCATGCTGCTATTTTTGTCCATCACAGTTATTGTGCTCTTCACTCATTTGCTGGTGTGTGGTTTTTTTTAGCTGCAGGACGTTGCTTGCGCGTGCTTCTGCAGTGATCTTCTCTCTTGCAGAGGAAGTTCTGTTGATGTGTCAAACACCTTTCCGATCCCAGAATGACCTACTTGAAATTTGTTGCTGTTTGCCGTTCAGTTCAATCGTGCCGTTTCTGTTTCAGTTCATGATTTAGGCTCAGTTTTCAATTTCTAAAGCAAAAATCCGGTAGTCAAGTTCTGAATTGTACATTTTAAAAGTTTGTGTTCACAGGAAGCAGCTCTTTTTTTCTACAATAGCACCCAAGCAAGGGTTTGAGCTCTTTTTTTTTTTTCCTGAAGCAAAATCTATACTAACTGCATTATCTTATTTTTAGATCTCTGATTCTTCATGCAAAATCTGATTACAAATAAAATAATCATTACATGCAGCCATTTAAGTGACACTGTGCTTTTTTAGGAACAGAAACACAGGAAGAAACTATAAATGGACCCGTTTGTGTGTGTGAACTGGATGGAAACAAACAAAAAAAGGGACATTAAAGCGAGACAGATGAGAAAACTGAGAGAGACCCCTTCAGAACAGGAAATAAGAAAACTACATATCTGCAGCTGAAAACCTTAAATGTCTTCCTGTCAGTGCGATGGGCTGCTGTGAGGTTTCTGTGAGGCTCTTTTATCTTGGTGTGCGGTCGGAACAGCAGCCTTATAGTGAGAAAGAGGACAGCCACGGCAGATTCAGAGGCTTTAACGTCTTTCTCTCAATCATCTGAAGCTGCTTCAGAGCGCAACAGTTCTTCCATTCAGACGTTATTTTTATGCTTCTAAAAGCAACAACTGTGTCATTTCTGCTTCGATGAACACGTTTGGAAAGCTAAACTTAATAGCAGCGATGCTAACGTTCGGACCTTATCTTGTTTTGTCCTCTGGAAATGTGCGCACTGATACTGTGTTGTAAAAATGTTTTATTTTTTTGGCAGCCTGAAATAATCAGCAATACATTAGAAACTGTTCTTCAAAGTTTCACTCTGAGAAATATAGTGTAAAATTTCGGACACCCTTTTCACTTTGCTAGTTAGCTTAGCTCAGGACCAACAATCATGGCAGCATCATTTAGACATGTGATTTAATCTTAAACCTAGTTTAGTTTTCCTCTTGATTTGAACACAAAAGTAACTTAAAGACAAAACAGCATAACAAAATAATTAAAAGTAATTTTGTGTTACACTGTTTGTGTAGCACAAACAGTGTAACGGCAAAAAAAAAAAAAATATGGCAACGGTTTGACGGTTCTCTCCGGTACTTAGCACCAAGAAACATTCCCATATCCTTTGTACAGAGAAAGAAGTTTAAGTCTTTTTGAAAGATGACTTCCTGTCCTTTAAGTGCTTCCTACTCTAATTTGAAGAAAAAATATGCCAATCCACTCCGAATTACTCTTCAGATCCAAAACACGCAGGGTTGTAAAAAAGTGCTTGGCCCCTTACACGGTTCTATGGCTTTTATTTTTTTTGTCACAAAGTATGTATCAAGTTGTCAAACAAATTTAAATATCAGACAAGGACAACTTGACTAAATACAAAATGCAGTTTTGAGATAATTATATAATTTACTCAAAGATAATATATTTGGTTGGTCAACCTTTGGTAGCAACTATTGCCCTGAAGTGATGCATGGCATTGAATCTTTTACGTCACTGATTTTTCTATTCCAGTCATGTTGGAGAGTTTTTCAGCTTGACGCCACATCATTTCATTTGAATTAATGTCTATACTTTGACTAGGTCACTCTAAAATGTTTATTTATGTAGAAGGGGAGCTGCTGATGTGCTTTAGCAAACGGTCACAAACTGTGGTGGCCGGACATCGTCCCTCAGGGTTTTCTGCTTGACAGCACAATTCGTAGTTTCGCCAATTACGGCAAAACATCCAGATCCTGAAGCATGAAAGGAGCTCAAGTCCATCACACCACCACCACCCCACTGTTTGACTGTTTTGTTTCCAGTACAGGGTCAGTCGTGTAACTCTCCGTCACTGACCTTAACAGAGGTGAGTGAGGCCTGCAGTGCTTTGTATGTTCTTCTTTGGTGAGTTGTTGATGGACTTTTGGAGTAATTTTGGTGGAAAGGTTCACACCTGTTAAGTGTTTTGTCTGTTTTTGGATAGTTTGATGAAGTTCCAAACGCATTAAAAATTGATCTGATACAGACACGTCTATCACAGATGAGCTTGCAGTCCAGCCAAAAGAAAACTATTAACAATATATTTTAAATCCACAGAGAAATAAAAATCCAACTTATCTGAGGATTTGTTTTTATGAAAACGTGTGTAAAAAGAGTCTAAAATATTACCTTTCACCACTGTGATGATAATAAAATCTTTCATGAATCGCATTAATAACATCAGACTCATTTAGACCATAGTGTTACCATCTAGAAAAAAGAATGGCGGCTTTTCCATCTTTCCATTCAAATAACAGCAATGTGCCATTAATTATAAAAATATTGATCAGACTCCTCACATTCCGGATCTTAGTGATTGTCGCGAGCCAATAACTTCAATATGTAGCTGATCGCATGATCACTTTTAACTGTCTGAATTTAATATAGTCTTTTAAAATATAACAGTGATCACAGTAAAGTAGACCAAAATAAATATCAGGACTTAGAGCATCTCTTTGATTGTTTTTCTCTTCTTTTTTTTAATCTAGAACTTAAAATAGAAAGTCTGTGAGAAATCTAAATTATATCCCCTTCTAAAAACAAATGTGAACCAACGAAACAAAGCAAAACAAAAAATACCACAACATACAATCTTCTTTGACTTGCATCTTTTAAGAGTTTCATGCAAAACGCAGGGATAAAATTACCAATATGACAATTTTATCCCTTTGCAATAGAAAATGTACATATATATATATATATATATATATATATATATATATATGTGCTTTTCAAAAGGAAATATACTTTTGAATTTCTGCAACAAGTCAAATTTTGGATTTTCAGATAAGTGCTCACTCATATTTCTTTATCTTCTGTCTTACTTTGTCCCAAGTTTTGGCAGCTTTTTGTAAAATACAAAACTGAACATGGAAATGAACCTTAAACCAACAAAAACAAAATAAACTTGCACTCAAGATAAAAAGCATCAGTGTGACAATAAAGAAATACGACATAATAAGTGATCTAAATGTTTCAGAGTGTTGTGTTTTGTTGATCCGATGTCGATCGTAAGGGTCACGCTGAAAGTTCGGACAAGGTGTACAAACTTATTTAAATTAACTCGGAGCTCAATTTTTGTAGCTAACGTGACATAAATCTTGATCACAAATACCGAAATCCGAAGAACATTTTGTCACAAGCTCAGAAAAGCTAGTTTGACACAAACTTTTATTTGTTTCACTTACCTTCACAGCAAACAGGCATGAACAGTGCAAAGAGCACAAACACGCCTGTCATCCATGAATCCATGGCTCTGTCTGCCAGTAAAAATAATTGTTTTACTCTTTTCGTCAAGCAGCTGCGAGTCGCCTCACGGTATCGTCTGATCCCTCTGCGTAGAGGAAGAGGCTGAATGACAACCCACTAGTGGACTGAGACAGTAAACTACAAAGCTGTGTTGCAACCCTGAACACCCACCGCTGGTCTCGCCTGCTCTGTTCATTTCATCTGATCAGAATCTGCATTTACAGACTAAACGTTGCCACCTTGAGGGTCTACGCTCAGGTTATTCCTCTAAAATGCATGTGTAGGCTTATTATTAAGCTAATTCTGGATGCAAATAATAACCGGTGGAGTTAAAGCTAATTAACTTGGTTGCAAGAGAGGAATAAAATTGCCTGCTCAAGTTTTTGTCTTCAAATCTTGCACATTAACGGGTTCTTTCTATTGGAACGTCTTCACCACCTTTGAGGATATTCAACATTCACAAAACTTTGACTGAGGCCTCTTTTTGGCAACAGGAAAACCTAAAAATATAACTGTTTAAAAGGAATAAACTGAAAAAAAGTCTAATTTATTTATTTTGCAAATGAAAATAAAACGAATGAAAGAAAACAATATTTATTTTCCTTCACTGTAAGATAAAAAACGGCATTGCAATATTGTTATTTTTCTTTTTGAAAATGACAAAAGAAAATCCAAATAAAAACTTGGAGCAAATAAAAACAAATAAAAGCTACGTAGTCAGTGCATTTATCAAGCACGAATAGACGGAGACAGGCTCATCTGACTGATCTACGCTATTCAGACATCTGTAACTCTAAAGGTCAGGAGAAATGTTAAATGTTAGTGGGTTTGTGTTGAGGAAAGAGAAACAGTTCAGCATTCTTCCAAAGCCTTGTGCATTTCTGAAGTTGCACAATAACACCGATTTGAGGAAAACATCTAAACTGGCTGCAGGCAGATATAAATATCGTAACAAATCCTGGTGTGTTTGGGGATAAATACGAGGGTAACAAGCCAAAAATTGATTTGTAAATAAATATATACCTATGGAAAACGCTGCATGTGGAAAAAGTTGGCAATTTAACTAAGGAAAATCTGGCTATTAACCTTAGTGCCCGGTATTAAGCTGAGTCTAATTGCTGATGAGAATGTGCAAAGGCGTTCGCAATGTCTAAGAGAGGCAGGAAGGTGGGAACAACAAGTTGTTTCCTTGTGTTACAAGCTAAACATAAGTATAAAAGAAACCCAATTTTAATCTTCCTTTTTTTTTTCAAATATTCTTGATATGAGCTTTAAAATGTAAGTTTTCATCAGTTACAACCCCCAAATATTTGTAAGAAGACACAAGCACAACACAGGAACCTTTAAAGGATAAAATACAGGGCAGAACCTGTGTAGCCTCAGTTTCCTGTTCTTAGGTGTCATGAACAGCACCAGGAGTGGTTTCTGTTGCTCTTTCAAGGTTTGACGTGTCAAGTTATCAGTGAAATTCTGCACAAATCTTGGTTTTTAACAAGTATTTGCGCAACTGGTTCCTTTCCATCATGTGAAATTAGTCAATCTTTTCTCCTCCGACATCATGCAACAGTCGGATGTCTTTTTTTTCCCAGGCAAGCTCGATAAACTGGATAGACAGTTATTGTTTGTGAAGATCCCAGTAGCAGTTTCTGAAATGTACACAGTTCAGACAATCAACCTAAAACAGCTGTGCCATGTTAGAAATCAATCAGATCCCGTTTCTCCCTGACTCTAAATCTCATTAAACTTCAGGAAGTCTCCTCACCACGTCTAGATTCAGAAATGTAAATATGTACTGCTAAGAATACTGATTTCTTATTTGTATTGACAGCAAATTGAACAACTATCTAGTAAATCGCCCAGAGAGCGTATCATTTTGAGCATGTTTTCTGTTTTTGCTTCTATAATTGATAAAATGGTTTCCTAATTAATAGCCAGTTTCATGGAGTTTTGTTTTTATGAGTGCTTCTGCATCAATAATTAGCTGCATAACTTTCTTTTTGACTAAAGTAACATCACTGTTGGACAATGTTTCCTATCATTTGAAGCTGTTGCAGAACTGCAGAGCTCCTTCAGTGACAGACCACTGCATCCACGGCAGATACAGGATTATTATCCCAGATCCGTTCTCCATGCAATTCTGGGATCGATAACATCTCTGCTCCCAACAAACTCCATAAATGTTTAAATATCTTCTGTTTTTGCATTTGTTTCCCCCTCCCCCTTTTTTTCTTAATAGTGCCTTTTTAAGCACTATTAAGTGCATAAAATACACATAAGCATTTTGTTGTTTCAATGCAGATATTCATGCACAACTTGTCATTTTAAAATCATCCCACTCACTTGCACGTTTCCCTTAAACGGAGTGTGTTATTTTCAATATCTGTGCAGCTTTACTTGTCCTATTTTGTAAATTTGCACTTACTGAACAGTTTCTTCATCTTTTTTAAATTTTACCTTAGTCTGAATAGGCATGCTTCTATTTACCTTTAACTTGCTGCTGGTGCACCTGAATTTCCTCACTTTAGGACAATAAAAATATTTCTATTATATTCTATTGTATTTGTAATGAAAAAATTGCCAAGCCTTTAGGTATGCGTTTTCTCCAGCTCGACTGTTTCGTAATCATAGCCTCGCTCGCACCTGTGTCCAGCCAGATGACCTCAATCATTGTTGCACTGAATAAATACTAGTGTTTGCTGGTTCGGATGTCACGTGACTTTCTCGGTGTTTCTTAAGCGAGAGTCACATGACCCTGATGCCAGAGCTAGCAGTGGTGATAAAGTGTCAAATGCGGGCTTATTGACCTCTAAACCTCTTCATACAGACAGAAGAAATCTGAGACCAGCAAACACCGACTGTATTAGGTTTTTCTTCTCGGTAACATTGCTTTGTAAATCTTCTACTTTCGTCTGTCTTTTTGTTTTTCTCTCTTTTGCGACGCCAACGTTAGCCTAGCTAGCACGGCCCAGCTAACTGTAGCCAACTAACTGTTGTGGTGTTGTGATTTTTTTTTTTTTTTTTTCCCGGAGGAAAACAATATGATCTCTGCTGGCGGACAGCCTTGGCGTTGGATGGGAGTGATGTTACCGCTCATTTTAGGTGAGTAATTGCTTTATGTTACAGCGACTTTACTGGAAAACGACGTTATCAGCTCGAAAGCTGGCAGATATTCAACCTAAATGATGAAATGTTAAAACCAAGCAAGCATGCAAACGGTTACTAAAATGATACAGTTGAAATAAAAAGCAAAGTTTTGACGTATGTTTTTTCTTTACATATTTAATGTGTTTTATGGAGTCACGTGAATTTCTGAAGCTTTCATTTTCATCCTCGCCCGCTTCTTCTCCAGTTGCTTGTTTTGTTTCAGGTCAGCCTTAAAAAGTGGAGATGGGTTTTCTAAAAGTTTAAATTATGAAGAAATGGCATTCTAATCATATCTTAATCTGTTTTGTTCTAAAAAAGGTATGTTGCGCTTTTAGAGTCTAAAACATTACATTACTACATGTGAAATCCTTAAATTTAATCTTAGATATTTCCATAAAACATGCAACAACTGATCTGTGTCTTTAGTGGTTAAAATAGTTACAACGCTTTTATTTGACTATAATGAGGTCAGGTTTGTTATTGTACAATACATTTTAACAATAAAATTGCAGCTAATATTTTTGCCTTGTGGTAAGAGACATTGAACTTGCATTCTTAAATCATAAAATTAGGATCCATTAACATTTCTCAAACAATCTTGTAGTCTGCATGACCTAATTTGGCATTTGCTCATGTATTAAATCAGTCTATTTGGCATACAAGTGATTCAGATATTAGACCATCTTCAGGCGAATCAAAACCGTTTTGTCTGATCTTAAATTTCAGCAATAAGCCCTGGTGCATGAATTTAAAGAAAAAAATGCCTTATTGTTTGAAATTCTCTAAACTGCAAACCCCAGTAGTGATTTAATTAGCTTTTTTTTTGCCGATGGCTAACAGATATGGGTAAGGCTGTGTATTGTTAAAAACCTCACAATTCAATTTCAATTCTTTGAGCCACAATTTGATTAGATTTTAACATTTTCAATCTGAGTCATTCTGTCATTAAAGCCCCATAAACTCAAAGAACTACTTTCACTTTCCCCCCCCCCACATCTAAATGAAATGATTTTTAGATGGTCTTTGACTGGTGGTAATGTTTTCTGTATTCCAATCTGTGAAAAATGCTACAGAAAACAGGTTGACAAAGTAGTATTTTATTCCTAACAAGGTGATTCTCACAGAGCTAATGGCTGAGAAACGTACATGCAGTGGATGATGAACTGGAGGACGGAGAGTCTCTCGGGCCTTTGTTGGATTTTTCTGGTCAACTCTAGTCCCTGCTGCAGCGTTTGGGTCACAGGTGCCAAACTCCAGTCCTGGAGGGCCTCTGCCCTGCAACTTTTAGATGTGCCTCTGCTGCACCACACCTTAATAGAATAATTAGGTTATTAGCAAGGCACTGGAGAACTGATCTACACAAGGAGGCTGTAATTAAGGCATTTCAATCCAGCGGGTGTTTTTTTTTTTTTTTTTTTTACCTGGGGCACATTTAAAAACTCCGGGACCCTGGCCCTTGGGGACGGGGGTTTGGCCCCCCCAATT